TGTCTGGCGGAGGTGGGTTGTCCCTTAGCCTCTCTGCTTTACCTCTCCCTGTCCCCTGCAAATCCCATGCCTCCTGGCACATGAGCCCCCATGGAGCTGGATGCAGAGGGGCTTCAGGACTGTGGTAGCTGCCTTCACATCTCCAGCAGCTTCTGCCAGATGGGGCTGATCCAGTGCAGCCATGTACAATCCATTCAGCCCTCTGCTCTCCCATCCCCAGCATTTCCCCCCCTGGAATGAGTGAGCAGCTCCTTCCCCTCCAGCCTCCCCAGCCCTCCTGCCTGCAGCTGGTCCCATACTTACCCCTAGCGCCCTGCCCTGCCAGGGTAAACCCAGGGGACTTATCTCCGGCCGATGTTGTGCTCCTGGCTGTCCAGGACCAACCTGAGTCCTGCAAGCTGCAATGAGTAGAGCCAAACCTGTTGTGTTCCTGGAGTGTGAAGTGTTGCTATGCGATACTGCAGCTCTCCAGGGCCGCTCTGGGGCACGGCTCCTGTAACTCCTTGTTTCCTGGTTCCTGGACAGCCCCATCCCCTTTCACTCCTGCCCTGTCTGCATTTCCAGCTGTGCCCGCACAGGGACTGTTGCTCTGTACATGTGCCCTTCAACCTCGGCTGCTCCTCACCAGCCCAGAAAAATGCTTGCTGGTGTTGAACTTGCAAAGGAGGAGCAGGGGGTGGAGAACAGCTGCTATGATTGCTGCTTTGCACCCCAACTATAAGCTGCGCCGGGGCTGGGACCTCCAACAGCTTGATTTCACCCAAAGGGTTGCATCTTTTGGGTGCTTCTGCCCCCTGCACTAAGGGAGACTGCGGGCAGGTGGGCACCCGTTGAGCACATCCCTGCCATGTGCCAGGGACCCTGCTCCTGCAATGCCCTGGCCCAAGGGCAGGTTTCTTGGGTGCTCCCAACCCCGAGTGGGGTTTCTCTCTGCTGTCGGAGCCCAGCCCAGCTGGTACGCCACCACCACCCAGTCAATGTGCCTTTGTCTGGCCTGGCTGCCGAGCTATTTGAGGAAAGTGGTGATGGCTTTTGTGTTTCTATCTCCCATCAGAGGTATTTATAGCCTGCCGCTGACTAGTGCTGCCAAGCACGCTGGCAGCTGGACCCTGCTCCCTCCCGGTGCTGTGTCGACTGTGGGCCCTGCTCCTCCCTCTCACTCCCACCACTGCTGGCAAGGGAAGGTGGGTCCCTCTGTGGGCACCCTCCCCATGTCATGGTCTGCAGGCTGCTTGGGGCCAGCCAGGCTTGGGAGAAAGGGAATGTGGCATCCCCTGGTACAGCACTTGGTTTAGGCCTGGCCGAGTCCGGTTATGCTTTTTTCTGCCTTTGGTCGCTTGTGTCCTAAGCAAACATGAGAGCTGCAGGGCTTTGGCCTGAGGCGTCAGCAGGAGAGCAGGCTTTTGCCATTTCAGCAGATCTCTCCACTGCGATGGAGTTTACTCCACTGCTGGCGCCGGGAACCTTTCCATGGGGGCGGTGCATTTGGAGGTGGGGGGGATCTTTGTGCATTTAACCTGGGCATGTATTGCCTTTTCCAAA